GTCTACCACCCCAGACGAGACTCTGACCTTTGGCATAGCCTTGTCTGGGTTCCTCTCTGCCCTAAGTCAGATAGTCCGACCAGCACAGCTGGAGACGAATCTCCAACTAATTGGCAAAGTAAGTATTTTATTTACCTCCTGTCCCATGCAACTAGATGTGGCACAAGCCCTATTGATTTTCTAAGCGTAGCTTAGATGTGGTACAATGCAGAAGGTATGGGACACCCAGTGTGGATCGAACTCACTATTCAGTCGTAACTGTTTTAGCGAGACAAGCTTGCTAACCATTACACCACGCCGAAGTGGCCTTAATTGCCGAAACAAGTCTCAGGTATAGAGTGTGTACATTATATGTATTTACTGATATAGTCAGTCCACTATAAGCAATAGGGAGAGTGGGACATTCCATTACCCCCCACCCCGAGCTAATTGTTCCATGAAATTTTACTCAATACCTCTTCTTTTTGGGGTCAGGACATAACCGTTTGACTTTTTTCCACGTCTGTTGTGGTAGGATCCACCTAATTTGCATAGTGGAGTACCGACCATATAAATATGGTTGGTACCGGGAAGAGAGGGAGGAATCAAGAGATTCAACCAGAGACTCTGCCCGACTGCGACTCAGACAACACATTCTCCAGGAACGATCTTACCAGGAATATACAAAAGACTATATGTAAATATTGTGTACACTTTCTTGTTTCAATACATTTTGTTCTAAGTACATTTTGTGTTGCATTATTATTCCATGCATTAGTCAAGTTTCAACAACTTCATAATACTTCTCTCACCAATATATCCTGCTAATACCTAATAAACAATGGCCTATTCAGTTTTGAACACGTAAAAAGACAAAAGACATATTAGAGGCGCTACCTGTTTTCAGTGAAAAAAGAAAGAAAGAAAAAAGATGGAAGCGTTTAATGTTTTATGCTAATACCTCATAAATACTATACTATTCGGTTTTGATCGCGTAAGAATACAAAAGATATCAAACTCTACTTGGACTTGGTCCTGAAAGAAAGAAAGAAAAATAGAAGTGTTTAACGTCTGTTTCAGTGAAATAGGGAAAAAGTTTACAATTACAAATCTTTTATTTGTACCCCCTTACTTCTTAAAGTAACGATCAACATTCGTATTTATGATTGTTAATGCAATATTTTATTGAAGGATTTAAGCTCAAATATTTAAAAATGCGAAATTTCTACAGATTTTTTTTTATTGTCGTAGAACTCGCCAGGAGCTTATTCAATCATTAACTGAAGAATTAAGATCCATCAGAAATTTCAAATAGGAATACCGTGACATTTTCCAGGTTTAGAACTAGCAAATATAATTATGAAATGGTTTATCATGAATATGTATATATGACATGGCGGTATGTACGAAAGAGCTCTGTATCATCGTATATCTCTATATGGGAAAATATTGAAACGATTGATAACCATCGATGCTTGCTGAAAATTTACCGAAACTAAAGAATGGATGTAAGCACAGTAAGAGAACAGGTAATGAATTCAGAACAGACTGCTTCAATGTCGTCGACTAACAAGTGTGTCTTTATAGACACAACATCCTCGGCTTCGGTGTAGCGACTTTTAATATCTCCTCACCTCCACCAGTCTTAAAGAAAGAAATATTGCTGTAACGAAAACTTACAGCTGCATAAGAAAAGGAATATATATATATATATATAACGAAACATGTCAGCAATTATTACAGTTTTCCTATTGTCTTTTTCATATATATATATATATATATATATATATATATATATATATATATATGTGTGTGTGTGTGTGTGTGTGTGTGTGTGTAAAGACAATAGAAAAACTGTAATAAGTGTTGGACGCGTTTCGTCTTTTGAGAAAGTCCACATCGGACGAAACGCGTCGGCAACTATTACAGTTTGGTTATTGTTTTTTACATTTATAAATATTGTCTTTTTTCTACAGGTTAACTCTGAGAAATTTGTAATATATATATATATATATATATATATATATATATATATATATATATATATAAAAAATGTACAAAGTCCGACAATTTATTTATTAAAGACATTTTTTTATGTTTAACGTTCTTTTTTATAGATACAAGTATTTAAGTAAATGCTCTGTTTATAATAAACAGTATTAAATAACATTTACCGGCCTGAATGTCCGAGAAATTTTCAAAGAAAATATTCGTCCTTTGACAGGATTCGAACCTGCATCCTATACGGAACCGTCATTTATGCTGACATGCAAATGACGTCATATATTAAGAAATGGACAAAGTCCGACAATTTATTTATTAAAGACATTTTTTATGTTTAATATATGACGTCATTTGTTTACATTTGATACACCAGAGCAGTTATGAATGTACGAGATTCATGGAAGATTGAAGTTTATAAGCAGTAAATTCAACCTTACCTACCGAACGCCCTTTGGCCGATCGGTAAGGCACGTCAGCGTAAATGACGGTTCCGTATTCCCGTATAATCCCATGGACGAATATTTTCTATGGAATTTGCCTTGACATCGGTCCGGTAATGTTATTTAATAATTACAAACAGAGCATTTACTTAAATACTTGTATCTATAAAAAAGAACGTTAAACATAAAAATGTCTTTAATAAGTATATATATATATAATTTTTAAATCGAATTTACCCACAGCAAGGCGGTAAATCCACTAAACCACACGTTATTACCGAGTGTGAAAGAATAAGATAAAAGAAAAATATTATTAAGGAGCGACAACAACAGAAGAGCAATGAAGAAAACAGTAGATAACGATTGACGTTGCATTTAAATCTTTGAAAATCAAAGTTCCCTGGACAGTATGGGGTCGCCGGAGAGATTCACAATCGAGTAGTCCGAGGAAAGAAACAGTGTAGAACTTACAGTTACATCTAGTCAATTCAACTGTAAATTGATGAGACCTAGTTGCTAAAATTGTGGTACGTTCATAATATCGAGGTACCATACCAAAGCGCTCATCCGAACAATTCTCATGAAAGTATTTATAGAAAATACACAGTGAAGCGACTTTACGGCATTTGGAAAATCACTAAAGCCGAGCTGCCATGTCATGTCTAATAATATTGCTGATTCTTTTTTGAATTTTATCAAGAATATCTATATATGTAGCAGGAGCATGGGACCATATCTAACAGCATTATTCAAAGCATGGACGAATGGAGGATTATAGATGTGTAAGATAGGTTCCGGAGAGAAAAAATGTCTAGTATGACACAGTGAACAAAATTTCTTAGCAGGGGCGCAAATATTGGATTCAGTATAATAATTCTACCTCATCTTAGCCGAGAATGTCATCTCCAGAAGCTGAAACGAGTCTTTCTCCTGGTGATAGGAACAGAGTTATAAAATGGTATATTTAACATGTAACTGGTAACATGAAAATGGCTTACGAAAGAACAGTACCTCATCGAACGGTTGATATCAGCGACGTTACTGTACTGTACTGTACTGATGCGGCATTCACCCTGGGCGGATTGAGCCGGCTTCTTTCTGTTATGAGAAGAAGATTCTTGGGATAAATTACAGAAGTAGGGTACCCAGGCCTACTCGGATAACGTTCTTGCTTGCCGCGGGATTCCCACAGACGCAGAGACAGGAACGACCAGAAGCCGCCGGTTACCGATGCAGACGCTCCTTGGATTTCACCAGAGCCCTTGTTAGCCGGTGTGAGTGTCAGACCTGCCCGCCTTGGGTGGCCCTACCAGGAACGAAGTTCCGGGCGGCATAGCTCTGACACTACCGTTTACACCCCCCCACCGACTGTGAGGTAAGGGTTGGACTTTGGGGGCTTACAGTACCAGGTGTTCCCAAGCGTTCCCCCATCTAAGTACTGACCTGGCTCTACGATGCTTAACTTCGGTGATCGAACGACAACCGGTGTTTCAGTGTGATTTGACCGTAAGCGACGTTGGACTTCTGTCCGTACACTTTTGTTCGTTTCTGATTTATTTGTTCTCTTCTTCCTTAATTCATACTTAGTTACCTTGATCCGTATTTTTTTAAGGGTATTTAAACACTTTTAGGGTCATGATTTGTTCAATGAGAGACATTTCGATTTCAATTTGAACGTTCAGATAAATATATATTTTTTGAACGATAAGTGCAGTTTACACAACAATCAGTGTTTTTCATGCTACATCTCGTTTTCATGATGTCTCTTACCTATGATAAACTCCCCGCCCTCACAACTAGTCCTTCTCCTTCGTCATTCAACTGGGTAATGTACTAGACAAGGCAGAGACGTCCCAGACCCTGAAGTATTTTAGATACTAGTATATCGTGCCTTTTAGTCTTTGCAAACATCCATATAATAGCATGCGCCGATTTACACAGGTCTTTTTTATTTGGTCCCAAAAGTGAAGGGTGGCTATATTTCTATAGAAAAGACAATACAAAGTCAAAGCATATATCCTCGATATATTTTTGTTTATTATTTCTGGTTGTCTTTTTCATTTATTTTCTTTGCCTCAAGGAAAATGTAGAAGGTGTAGATTTTAATAGACGCCATCAATATTTGCTTTCTGTATGTACAGGAGAGAAAAAAAAGCGAAGTAAAAAATTTAATAATTTCTTCCATTTTTTTCCTCTTCCCGCTTTTTTCTTTTTTATCTTGCTTTTTGAAAGCAATGAATCGCTGGCGGGTCCAAAAGGCGCAATGATCTCAACAAAATGGAACGATCTTAGGTTACAATCTGGACTAGAAGCAATATTTTGCAGAGCCATTCGTTCGTTCGATGCATCGCAGTAATTCTGTTTTTGCATTGAAGTCACGGAATTGGATGACATCTTCTCATTTCGGGGATCAAGTATTTGGTGTAATATTCGCCAGAAACAGAAAAGAAAAAAAAAAAAACGGAGTTAGAAAGCGGAAGTGAGATGAGAATGATTCAAGGGAATATAAGCTAGATTAAATGAAATTGAAGAAAGAAGTGTGGGATGGGAAGAAATAAAAGAATGAAGGTAGGTACATTATAATGGTGGCAGAAGATAATACAGGCAGAAAGAAAGAAAGAAAGAAAGAAAGAAAGAAAGAAAGAAAGAAAGAAAGAAAGAAAGAAAAATGATAAAGGGAGAAAGAAAGCGAAAACAGGGAGTACGGAAAATGATGGAAGAAAGAAAGAAACGAAGTAAGAAGTGTTTATGAATGAAGGAAAGAAAAAATAACGGAATTGCAAAATGAAAGAATGAAGAAAAAAATGCGAAGTAAAAATTTAATAATTTCTTCCACTTTTTCCTTGTCCCGCTTTTTTTTTTATCTTCCCTAAAAAGAAAGAAACAAAAAAATGAAATAATAAAGAAATAAATAAATGAATAAAGAAAGAAAGAAAGAAAGAAAGAAAGAAAGAAAGAAAGAAAGAAAGAAAAAATGATAAAGGGAGAAAGAAAGCGAAAACAGGGAGTACGGAAAATGATGGAAGAAAGAAAGAAACGAAGAAAAAAGTGTTTAGGAATGAAGGAAAGAAAAAATAACGGAATCGCAAAAAGAAAGAATGAAGAAAAAATGTTCGAAAAAGAAAGAAAAAAAGATGAAATAATAAAGAAATAAATAAATGGATAACGAAAGAAAGAAAGAAAGAAAGAAAGAAAGAAAGAAAGAAAGAAAGAAAGAAAGAAAATGATAAAGGAAGAAAAAATGAGAAAACAGGAAGTACGGGAAAAGATGGAAGAAACAAAGAAAGAAGGAAAGATAGAAGGAAAGAAAGAAGTGTTTAGGAATGAAGAAAAGAAAAGAAACAATAACGGAATTGCAAAAAGAAAGAATGAAGAAAAAATGAAGTAATAAAGAAATAAATAAATGTAGAAAGAAAGAAAGAAAGAAAAGAAAGAAAGAAAGAAAGAAAGAAATAAAGAATAGAATCATGGAAAGTGTCACTGGAGAAAGAAAGAAAGAAAGAAAGAAAGAAAGAAAGAAAGAAAGAAAGAAAAAAAGAAAGAAAGAAAGAAAAAATGATAAAATGAAAGTAGGGAGGAAGAACAAAATTGGAGAATAATGAAAAAATGAAGAATGTAAGGAATAAATGAAGGGATTATAGAAAAACAGTGTTTCAAAGGAAGGCTAGAAAAAAAAATAAGAAATGAAAGAAGACAGAGATTAGGAACTGCAGAGAGTAAAGAAAAAACGGAATTTACAAAGAAAAAACGAAAGAAAGAAACGCAGAATTAAAATGAAGAAAAGAAAGAAAGATGACGGAAAGAAAAAAAGCATTCAGGAATGAACGAAAGATAGAAAAGACGAAATTATGAAAGGAAGAAACAGTGCACCAAAACGAAAGAAAGAAGAAAACAATTAAGAAAGAATGTAAGAAGAATGAAATAAAGACGCTATCAAAGAAGAAGGAAAGAGAAAACAAGATGGGCGCAAAATGAGAAAGAAAGACAGAAAGAAAGAAAGACAGAAAGAAAGAAAGACAGAAAGAAAGAAAGACAGAAAGGAAGAAAGAAGAAAGAAAGAAATAAACAAACAAACAAACACAAACGAAGGAAAGAAAGAAACGTTCAGGAAGAAAGGAAAGATAGAAAAAAGAATTACAAAAAGAAAGAAGGTAGAAAGGTAGAAAGGAAGAAAAATGTACTAAAATTAAAGAAAGAAAGAAAGAAAGAAAGAAAGAAAGAAAGAAAGAAAGAAAGAAAGACAACTAAATAAATAAGATAGAGTTTAGAAATGAAGGAAAGAAAGAAAAATGAAATTTATAAAAGGAGAAAAAAGAAATATCGTACAAAGAATGAAAGAAAGACACTCAGAATGAAAATAAAGAAGAAAAAAGAAAGAAATGGCTTCATAATATCACAAACGAAGCAAGTCTAATGCATATTTTCCGCTTTTATTAATTATAATTATTTATAATTTCACCTTTTCTTTTGGCAGACAGATTTGGTTTATTATTGCTAGTCTCCATTTTGTCTCCTTATAGCGAGATAGATAAAGAACGAGAGAATGACAGAGTAGAAATAAAAGAGAGAGGCAGAAGGACATGAAAATAATGAACAAGTATTTGCCAGAAAAATTATTAACAATAACAAAAAAAAATAGAAAGAGAACAAAACAGACAAAAGCGTGATAAAAGTACAAAATAAAATGCAAAAATGAAAAAGCGAGAAAGATGCAAATAAGGAAAGAGGATCTTTCCTTATTTGCTACGTTAATTTGTTATACCATTAATCATGAGTGGAATTGGTGTCTGCGAAGAACACGATACAGAGACGCTTGTAATTGGACTTCTGAGTGACGACGTTGCTATTACTTCATGTCGTGTTTTGAGGATGTGGCTAGATTTAGAAACGTTATCAATATTGTCGTGCAAACACTTATAACCTTGTAGAACAAGTCTTGAATGAATCAGCGGAGACAGTTCATAATATACATGGTGTGATTATAAAGGACAACGTTGAAAATGATGCTGTTAGCTTAAAAGAGAGGGGAAAAAAGAAGAAAGGAACTCGTTCAAATAAATAAAAAAAGAAAAAAGACAATAAAGGAAAAAAGACAACAGAAAAAGGTAAGAAAGAAAGAAAAATGTAACAATAAGGAGAATAAGTGAAAGACCTATAAGAAGTGTTTTTCATAAAGAAAGAAAGAAAGAAAAAAAAGAAAGAAACAAAGAAACAAAGAAAGGACCATTGGAAAGTGCTAACAATAGAAGAGGAGAGTATATAAAAGGAAAAGAAAGAAAAAAAGAAAGAAAAAAGAAAGATAGAAAGAAGTGTAGGAGAAAAAAGGAAAAGATTATGACAGAAAGAAATAAAAAATGAATGATAAAAAGAAAAAGAAAAAGAAAGAAAAAAGAAAGAAAAGAAGTATTAAGAGTAACAGAACGAAAGAAAGAAAAGAAAGTAAACTGCATGAAAAAAGGGCGAGAAGATAGAAAGAAAGAAAGAATATAACATTAAAGAGACAACGAGAGAAAAAAGAAAATAACGTTAAAGATGGAAAGAAAGAAAGAATATAACGTTAAAGAGAGAAAGGGAGAAAGAAAGAATATAGCGTTAAAGATACATAGAATGACTGAAAGAATACAACGTTAAAGAAAGGGGGAAAGAATATGACATTAAAGAAAGAGAGAAAGAATATGATGTTAAAGAAAGGGGGAAAGAATATGACATTAAAGAAAGAAAGAAAGAATATGATGTTAAAGAAAGGGGGAAAGGATATGACATTAAAGAAAGAAAGAAAGAAAGAATATAACGCTAAACAAAGAAATAAAGAAAGATTATAAAATTAAAGAAAGAAATTATATAAGGTTAAAGAAAGACAGAGAAATAAGAATATAACGTTAAAGAAAGAAAGGAAGGAAGAAAGAAAGAAAGAAAGAAAGAAAGAAAGAAGCAATATAAAGTTCAAGAAAGAAAGAATATAACGTTAAGATAAAAATATAACGTTGAAGAAAGACAAAATAGAACGCTAAAGGGAGAAAAAAGAATTAATATAAAGTTAAAAAAAGAAAGAAAAAAAAAGAAAGAAAGAAAGAAAGAAAAAAGAAAAAAAAAGAAAAAGGAAAGAAAAATCAAAAAAAAAAAAAGAAAGAGCATCGAATATTTATCTTGCAAACTCAAGTTATAAATATCCTTAAAATGAACACGTTTACAAATCTCCTATCTTTTCAAAGTCAGGCACAAGACTACAATTACAGAGAACCAGTAAACACTAAACTCCTTAGTTGCTAGTTATGATGTAACACATTAACCAAAGCACCATAACTCTGCAATGCAACAGTCAATGATTCTTAAGCTCAATAATGGCATCTCAAGTTTCCAGGAATCGGTTCGATAAAGGCAAGTTATCATCAGGAACCTAATCTACTTATTTTTAATTCGAACATGGAAACAAACGACTTTATAGTATCAAAAAGAAGTAGAACATTTTGATCATTTAATAGAAAATATTTAATTATTAATATATTTCCAGACTGAATTTCTCTTCTAATCATATTTCTGTTCAGAACAATGATACCTTTTGAATCTAGTGTCATCAGCTGGATTATGTTTTTTTTTGTTTTTTTGTTTTTAGCCAATTGAATCGCTGCAGTTCCAAACAAACAATTGGAAGACCTATCAAATTTATGGCTAGAAGATTTGCCACATTTTTTACTTCAGGACGATTGTTTGTCAGTATAAATTATGTTCATCACAAAAAATCCTCTTTCAATCTCTACAGAACTTCCAGCAATAGTATTAATTATATTTTTAGCTGTTATATACCAATTATCAATATATAAGATTATATTTGCATAATCCAACAACCGGTGCACTAAGCTTTTATAATATTAAGAATGGTAGGATGACACCACTGCCTGAGCTCAACTATGCCTGGCACAAGGAACCTCTGCTGTGCATGGGCTAATGACAGGACAAATTGTTTGCCAGAGTTGGTCTATTTCAAGCGGAATAACTTTTATTTTATTAATCCGACCTGTTTTATTGTTTAACCGCTATCTCTAGTGTATACCCACTTTACATAGAGGATTTGTTTATTTATTAAACATTATATTATTTATTTTCGTCTACCGGCCTGAATATTCGAGAAATTTTATGAAAGAAAAATACGCATCCACCCCAGTTATCCATTTCAAGAGCAGCGCCAGGTTCGAACCGGCGTAATCATGGGCAGAGGAAACCGTCATTAGATCCAACGCGCTTTAAACCTCTCGGCCACGATGAAACAAAGTTGAATAGTGCCTTATAATCTCAAATCTATCCCAGACTCTCGAAATATGCATATCTGCTCAGTTTTGGATTCAGGTGGATTTTAAAGTGATGGATTTTTATAGTGAAGTCATAAAATCGTTCTGGTTAATAAATAGAAATCCATCTTTAGAAATCGTTTTGGTAACGTTAGTTGCGATAATTTGTGTCAAGCTTAGACGAATGATTTCGTCTAGCAAATTTCCGGGACTGGATCAAGCCAGGATCATTTACACTGCAGATTTTTCTTTGGATTTTCTCAAGAACCTCGAGATGAACAGCAGGGGCATCAGACCACATATTGCAACAGTTTTCAATACACGGACGAATGATATATTTGTTAATGAGCAATATGGACTGTGACGACAAAATCCTTCTGACACGATAGAATGAACCAATTTTCCTTGCAGTAGATGCAGCTCTTGATTCAGTGTAGTTGTTCCACTTCAAGTCATTTGAGAAAGTGAGGACGAGCATCATGCAGATGGCAGGGAAATTTCTCTATGGTGGTTAAATGAGAGCAGTTTTGTTTCGGAGGCATTAAATTTTGCAAGCCATTTCCTTTTCCGGTTACCCACTCCAGTTACGCATTTCAAGAGCTGCGACCAGATTAACTTTGTCAGCTCTGACGAATTTGTTATTGAAATAGGAGTGAATGGTAGTGTCACCTGCATAAATGCCTACTTGAGAACTGATGTCATCAGGAAGATCATTGATGAAGATACCTAGAGTATAACCTTGGGGCCACCCGCGCTCGTGTGAAAGGATTTGAAAACGAGTCTGTTCAGAACGACTTCATTTCACGATTCGATAGGAATAGTTAGATTAAATCAAACAATCGTCTTGTAATTCCGCAACCCTGAAGATTACGTAGACTATCCTGTTAAAACCTCTGAGATATCTATATCCACAGGTCGACCTTCGCCTTTATTATCAAGAGTTGATATACATATTCAGTGATGGACTTAAGCACGTCAGCGGTAGACTAAGCAAAACGGAATCCATATTGTTTTTCAGAGAGTAGGTCGTGAGAGGTAAGATGCTTAACCATATCAGCATTGATTAAAACTTCGAAGGCTTTGCCGAAAAGCGGAAGGAGACTAATAATTTGATAGTTAGAGGGGTCAGAAGAAACTCCAGAGTTCTTAAAAACAGGAACTACAGAGGATGACTTGCAACGGGATTGAAACTTGTATAGTTTGGAGAGAAATGGAGCCTGCACAGGAACACATTTCTTTAGGACGATGGCTGATATTCCTTCACCTCTACTGGCCTTATAAGAGACTCATTTAGAAATGATGCCCAATAATAGTGACGGGGTTAGCGCATATCACTCAGTATAGCCTCAATTCTGGGGAGGGAGTCAAGTCAAGTGTTGAGATGGTAGGGAGTTTCCGAGCAAAGTATTCAACCATATCTTCTGTAGATGTCAGGAATACGAATTGATTAAATAAAAGAGGGATTGCTGATTTGATGCTGTTCAGCACATTCTTGCAGAGTCGCCAATAATCTCTAGAATCGAATTTGCAAGATGCTATATCATTCTATCAGCGACACGCAATGTCATCCTAACACCAACTTCGTTTCATTGAGGACACGCTTGCACTCTTTACAAGCAAAGTGACGTTGTTGCAATCAGACGTGTCGCTCTGCTACTGCCGGAGGAAGGCATTCCTGTGGGTTATAACGGCCGAGCATGCAGGTGAGGGCCAAGGAGATGAACGCGGCTTCACTTGGTATTTCTTTACTGGAATGAACGCATCGGTGCTGGCATTCAGCCAGGAGGTGACCTCAGACGTGCATTTTGGCGTAGGATGATTAAAAACCTCATCGTCACGAAGGAAATCATGGAAAAAGTCCCAATCTGCTCGTCGATAAAGATAAAGATATTCTGTTGGTCGGAAGTTCTTGGTTGGGTGGGGGAAGGAGATATTAATAGACACTACTGCATGATCAGAGTTGCCAAGAGGGCAGGGCTGCGTAGTACGAAAAGAGTCATGGAGAGAGGTAAGAAACAGATCGAGAAGAGAACCGTGTCCGTCAGGGTTACTGGGAAAACATGTGGGTAATCAACCACTTGCGTGAGTTTGAGGAGTAAAGTGTTTGGATGCTAGCGCGTTCAGTGACAGAGTGATATGGTGGGCATAAAGTCACCGAAAACGAATACGTTTGCAAACCAGTGTAGGGAGATGGCTTTTCTCTATTATTGAAAATATTATTTAGCACGTAGCAGTCTTGAGAGGGAAGGTAATGGTAGAGAAAAAGAGTTTGCTGACTGAGTTAAGAAGAGAGAGA